CCCCGAGGGGCGCCAGAGCCGCGGAGGGCGGGGAGCGGCTGAACGAGAGGAGGGGCGAGTCCTGCAACTTCATGGACGACACCTCGAGCTTCTCCTGCCGCCGCCACTTGGCCCGTCGGTTCTGGAACCACACCTGCGAAAGGCAGCACAGCGGCCGTCGGGCTGCAGGCCAGCCAGCTCGACTCCCCCAACCCCAAGTAAAACTGGGGCTCAGCTATTTCACACCTCCTCCTTTCGCCCCTCCCCCGCGCGCTTCATCCTTTCTTTTCCGTCCCGTTTTCTCCTTTTTGTCTCTTCCCTCCTTCCCTCTTGTTTCCTCTGTGTCTCTTTGTCCCATCCTTGTCCTCCCTGGCGTTCCCACCCTTGTCCCTGTTTATCTATCTCACCGACAGCTGTGGTTCTGTTTTCAGCTCCTGGCACGGAGCAGGTGCTCAGAAAAAAAGTGAAGTGAACCCTGGAATGAGACCGTAGGACTCTCGAAACCAGATCTCCCCAAATTTGTCTTACCTGCTGGTGGGCTGCCTGCCCCTCCTGACACTTCAGTTTAGACTGTCGTGGTACGGCTCTCAGTGGCCACGTTTTTCTCTCAGACTTTCTGTGGTTTACCTACCTTTTGTCTCCATCATAAACTTGTATAAACAAATACTCTAACTACTGTAACTGGCCACACTGGATGTTAAAATACAGCTATTTCCACGAATTACTGGTTATGATAACGAATAGAAGAAAGTGGGTTTATTTTATACCAAACATTTGAATTGCTGCTTTAATAAGATTTTCGTTTTTATTTCATTGATATCCTTTTAGGATTCCTAATATGTCTTATAAATGGCTTTCAATGGTTACGATAGTTCGAGTGTATTACATCTGCTTTTACTTTATGAAGTTAGTTCTGACATTATCACCCTAAGATGAATTCAATGAGCTCAAGTTTTCCTTTTCTTTTTTTTTCTTTACATGTAGAAAGTCCACACCAGAGTGAAGTCTGCTCTTAACAATGAAACTTCAATTGTTGAGTCGATAAAAGCACAAGAAAGGGTGTAGTTAGGGTTCCACCACCAAGTTCCCACCGTCAGAAACAGAACAGAGAGAATTGGTCTAGTTTAGTGGAGAATCTTGAATGAACTTTAGCCAAACTGGTCGTTTCAATGTTGTACTCGTGAAGGGAAATAGAACAGTTGCAACTTCAGACTAAGAGAGGTGGGAGAAGAACCCTGGGCACCTGAGCTGAGCAGGGCGAGTGTGTGTGAGGCTGGGGTTTGAGAGAAAAAGAGAAAGAACTAAAATGTAAGTTCCCCTGACCCCTTCCCACAAAAGATCCGTCGACATATCTGAGGCCTTGATTTTCACAGAAATATTAGATACTTGCGGATAACAGAGAAAAGAGAAACATTGGCCTGGGTGAGGCTTCCACCCCCCTGCCACCTCCGTTTCTCTGCATGTTTCATTTCATCCCCCTGAAAATATCAGCTTTAGTCGTAGGATCTAGCATCCAGAGTCAGAGGGCGAAAGACTAGGAAAGTCGGCTCTTAAAGTCAGGTGCCCTCAACACGGTTAGAGACCCTGCCCGGCCCCCGCCCCCTTCATCTGACCACATCACAGCTGTGTGTTAAGAACTGGTTATATGCTGGGTGCTGTGCTGGCCCTGTGGTCACAGAGAATTCACAGAGACAATGATCTCAAGAAGCTCACAACGTAGAGGAGAAGCCAAAATCCCTGAACAAGTAAAGAGGGAAGAAAGAATGTGGGACAGAGGTGGCCTCAGGTATGAAGGCATCCCCTGAGCTGGCTGTGCCTCTCTTCTGCAGGGGCACGGGAAGCCTTTGCCTGTCCTCTTTCTTCATCAACTCTCGCTTGTTTGCTTTTCCTCTCCCTACCCCAGCCTCCCTCTCTGAAGAGCAAGTGCTAATATGTCCACCCCTTCAATGAAATCATGGCAGCTTTACTGCCCCAAATTAGGAGAAATTGAACTGTCCTTGGCAGTTAATCCCGAGACACATTAGGGAACCATATTTTAAAACCATGACATTTACTCATTACTTAAAACCCCCAAACTAAGTAGAAAAGACAAAGGCAAGAGCTTGTCTCCTTTTACTTTTAAGACAAGACTAAAAGCCCCCCAAATCTGAATATCTCACTTCCTGGAAATCTAATTCATTAGACAGACGCAAAAATCCCATCTCCGTTCCACTGTCTTTCAGATGTAGTGAAATTGGTTCCCAAAGACTCCTTTTCAGAACTCTGTAAACTCTCCCAATTTGGAAATCCTCCCAGATTTTTCACAGATGACTAGCAAATATTTAAGGCTTTCAAATATTTTAATGATCAGGGATTAAAGATAATTCAGCTTTAATTAAAGCGAAAACCCCTTTACAGCAACAACAACAAAAAGGCCTCTGCATCAGCGGGAAGTTTGGTTGGATGTGCACCAGAGAAGCAAAAGTCAGCGTCTTAAACAAATCCACTGAAAGTTTCAACTGCCAGGCTCCAGGCCCCTCGCAAGAAGACAGGGTTTTCCTTTTAAGCACGGTGCACGCAGCGGGTGACTAGGGTGGCATTTGGGGCCCGGGTCCAGTTACCCTCAACTGCTGTCTACATTCCCTCTATACTCGATCCCCTGCCCCAATCCTGGCTGCATCTAAGGAACTGTCGCTTCTTCACCTTGCCAGCCATTTCCAGTTCCTCTTTTTAGCTCAGAAAAGGGGGACCCCAAAGGGGAGATGATACTACAAACTGGAACAGAATGTGAGAAGGGTAGTGCGTGGGGTACATGGAAGATCTGTAACGTGCCTTCGGGGCTCTGGGCCAAGCAAAGCGAGGAAGGCCAACAGGAAAAGCGCCATCACAGATGCGTGGACGCCGGGGGATTCAAGGGAGCATTGGCTGCAACTGGCCTCGGGCCCTCCCGGGGACTGATCTGGGCGCTTTACCTGGACCCGGACTTCGGGTAAGTTGACCTTGCCCGCCAGCTCCTCGCGGCTGTAGACGTCAGGGTAGTGGGACTTCTCGAACGCGCGCTCCAGCTCGTGCAGCTGGTACGTGGTGAAGGTGGTGCGGTTCCGTCGGTGCTTCTTCTTGGGCTGCTCCTCCTCGGATAACTTCGCGTCGCCAGCGGCGGGCCCGGCAGTCATCCCGGGGCTCGGTCGCGCCTCCCCGGGCTCCTTAGGGCAGTAGGGACGAGGGGCTGGGACGACGGGGCCCCGGACGGTCAGAGACACTCCCCGGAGTATCACCGGGATCACCCCGCCCACCTGAACCCTGGCGGAACGACGCGTGCTCGGGAGATGGCCCGGGGAGGTCGGGGTGAGGGCTGCGAGGGCCCCCTAAGCTTTTCTCTGAACTCAAGTTGGAAGCTCCTGCTATGCACACAGCGCCCAACCCCGCGCCCAGGTGCTTGGGTAAAAGTGAAGTCAGGGGCTCCCTCCTCTCGCAGAGCCACTGAGTTTGGGCGGTCTAGGGCCTCGCGGCCGCGGAGAATGCGCACTCACCTTCGTACTCGGGAGCCGGAGCCGGGGCGGGCTGCTGGGAGGGCTCAGCTCCTCCCCCCGGCGCCTTGGTGCAGGCGGCCCGCGCGCCGGGCGTCCTTTCCCGCTCCTTTGCGTTTTGGGCGCCTGCGTCCACCGGGAAGGAGCCGAGGATCCCCTCGTCCTTGGTAAATCCCAGGATGGCTTCGATGCTGTGCAGCCGCGAGGTGCTGCCGCCAGGGCTGCGGAGCAGGTGGCCGGCGAGCGAGAAGCTGGCGTCGGCCATGGCGGGGCCGCAGCCGGGCAGGTGCATGGGGGAGCGCGGGAGGCGGGGGCCGCGCGTTCTGTAGCGCCGTTCGCTTGAAGGCGGAGAAGAGGCTCGAAGTCGGCGCTTCCGGGTGCGGCCGTGCGAACCGAGCGATCCCGATCCAAGGTCAAACTCGGCGGGCGCCACTGGCTCCGGCTGCGAGCGCTCGGGCCGCGGCCGCCCGGATCACTGCAGGAGTCGGAAGTTCCAAGTCCGGGGAGCTGGGGCTCCGGGCGCTAAAGGCTGCGAGCCCGCTCCCCCCGGCTCCTCCCCCCTGGCCGCGGACCCGGCCTCTACTTCTCCGTCCCTCCCCCCGCAGCGGGGCGGGTCTTCGCTCGCCCGGCTTCAGGGTCCTCGCCCTGCTGCCCCGGGCGGGGCCGGCGCTCCGAAGATTCCACCTCCCACCTTCGATCCGCTTCAAACACTCCAAACACACACCGGGGACCGGCGGCGAGGTGTTCGACAGGCCTGGGGACCCGGGTCCGAGGTCCGCGCCCCCGGGTCCTGCCTCAGTGGGGCCGACGCCTTGGTCTCATCGACCCCCTCGGACTTGCCGTCATCCTCGGGCTCCCCTTCCCCTGCTTGTCCCCGCCACCCCGGAGTCGCCCCTGCCGTCGGCTCGCTTCTTCTGCAGGGCTGAGCGCCCCGGGCGGCCCTCGGAAAGGCTTCTTGGCTCCCCGGCGTTGGAAGTCAGTCCATACTTCTTCCCAGTTTGAATTTTCCTCTCTCCGTCCCTCTTTTCACGCCCACGGGCATTCCTCTTTCCGGTCCGTAGTCCGAAGCCCCGGATTCCGCCTTAATTTGGTTTGTGTCTATCTGTTTTAACTGCTCGTCTCTGTCCCCTCGGACGGGCGTGCGGGCCGGCTCCCTCACTCCAGCGCCCGCCCCAGGAGGCGGCGGGGCCTTCTGTGCCCGCAGGACCCGTGACCTCAAGAGCCCTGCAGTCTGGGATGTCCGAGTCTTACTTGCTGGTGGGCTCAGGCCGGATGGGAGACCCGCCAGGGTTCCTCACTATCACAGACTGTGTCCTGCGGGAACCCTCCCCACCGAACAATTCTCCAGGAGGAGGAGATGACCCAGCCTCAGGCTGACCGGGGAAGGGCCTTGGTCAGGGCGGCAGGGAGGCCTGGAGCTCCTTCCAGGGTTTCGGGCGTAACGCGCGCTTGCACTTCTTTTCCCTTTGGGGACACCCCGAGGCTTCTGTGGCCCAGAGTGACTCATAGGCCAAACGGAAAGACGATTTCTACGGGGAGAGTGTTTTTTTTCACATCCCCCAGTGCTGTGAACAGCACTGTGATCTCTGGCACTTCTCAGATCTGATGCCGGAACCCAGGCGGGCACCCAGCCTTCTGTGAACCGAAATAATTCCCTAAAAGTCTAGGACTTTTAGGAAAGGACCTACAGATTCTTAAAATCTTTGCAGCAGGCACCTTGATATCCATGCAGCCGCCCCCCCCCTTGTTTATTCCCCTTTACATTCAAAGAAGCGTTTACTACGTCCTTTCTGAGGATCCAGCTCTGACATGGGCCATGTCAGCCTCACAAAAGAAAGGCCAGGGCCACTGGCCTTGAGGAGCTTAAGGTCCAGCCTGGGAGACAAGACAAAGGAAGAAACAAAAGAAAAACACGTATCTTTGGATCTACCACCTTTAAATTGATGTCAGAGGGACAAAAATGACATGTGACTATGCCAAGGATCTTTAAATGGTTAATTTTCTGTGATGAGCACATGGGGATTGTGGTCATTACATGAACAGATCTATTTTTAATACAACCATAAAAAGGTAAATTAAAATAGCAATCATGTGAGTTTGCAGCAGATAGAAATTGAATTACAGATTCAAGTGAAATTATTTTTTAATTTTAATAAAAAGCTAAATTAATGAAAAATCAATACATGCTTTATAGTGTTTGCAGATCACTTTATAATTTTCAGACTCTTTTCACATTCTTTCTATCATCTGATCCCCGCAGCCCTGTGAGTTGAGCAGGACAAATGTATTTATCCCCATTTTAGAGAAGAGGAAACTGAGGCTCAAAGTGATACATACAGCTATTAGGTGAAGGGGTCAGGACTAGAACTCAGATCTACTGACTTCTTATCCAGTGTTTTCTGGCTAAGGCTCATTTGTAATTATTATTGTAGAGGGTGATGCTTTGAAAAGGATCGAAGCATTTCTTAGCCTGCATTCTTTCCAGAGGTTGAATCCTAAGAAGCTAAGATGGAAAGAAGTGAAGACAGAGTCCCTGGGCAGAAGCCTTTGGGCCTTTGGGTGCATCCAGGAGGACTGAACAAACTCTGGGGAGGTTCCTGCCACAGTCCAGAAGAAGCCTGCCCCCAGGTTCCACTTAGACTTTCTAGGCTGCCAAAGGCATTGCCTCCACCTGGTGGCACCCCACAAGGTCCCACGTACTAGTTACGTACATAGATCAGGTGGCTGGGGTGCTGATCACTTCGTAACCAGAGGGCAGCCTTAGGGATAACTCATTGGTGTTTGTTGTTTCTCCTCTGACTGAGAATGCTTCTTATGTAAACTTCTCCAATATTAAATGGATCTCTATAATCACCGCTAAACAAAGACTGGCAGCGTTTTCTTAAGCTCCTGCCCACACGCTAAGGGGCTTATGGCCTTGTTTTCCAAAGTTAATTCCCTCTGGAACTGCCCAGCTCTCCCTAATAGGTCCAGGTGAGGTTAGCTTTTATTTACTGTTTATTTCAGAGTCTTGGGAGAAAAGCAGAAAAGACTTCAACAGCCACTGGTGAGGGACGATGGGGGAAACAGGGCAGAGCAGGACAAGGGGAGGTTGGAGCTTCCTTTGTGCAAGACATAAAGAGCTAGTCAATACTATTGTGGGCACGGTGGAGGGTACTCCAAGCAATCAGCCGGGGGTCATTGTTAGGGGCTAATCTACATGTGTATTTCCCAAGAACTCGATTAGGGAAGATGAATGGCCTGGGCCATGTCCCTAATTCTTCTAGCAAGAAGCAGCAATTTTCCAGCAGTTACGCAAGCTCCTAATCAGCCCAGCTTCAGCAAAAGTAAGGAGCCTGGCTTCTGAACTCCACCTCTGTTTAATTCATTAATTCATTAGGTGGATCAAAGAAAACTCCCCCCTCTTGGCCTCCCCGCCCTCCTGCTTCCCATATGGGCTGAACTAAGACACAGCGAAAGCCCCTGTAAACCCGGCGTGACTCTGAGAAACATTTCCAGAAGTAAGGAGAATGGGGTGATTGAGCGTGGGGGTGTCTTAAGAGAGGGAGGCTCTGTGTGCTGTGGGAAGGGCAATACAGAGCTACAACTGAAGTTGGGGGAGAAAGAGATCAGGGACTGCTTAGTCCTAGCAAAACAATGTGTAACCATCAGCAGCAATTATGCAATTACGTAAAGTTATAGCACAAGGTGACCCTTCTCTCTTGGATGTGTGCAGGAAATCCCATTTCCGGAAGTATTCCAGGTGGATTGCTTTACCCACAACACTTTAGAGAAATGGGCATCTATGGAATGAGTTCCCTGTGTACCGGGTGGGCAAGGTCGTGTTCCCCGGCCGGTAATCATTTCCCCTTGAAGTGAGGTTTTAGGTTTGGGTGTAAAATATCTATTTAAGGGCCTATGTATAAAACAACTTGACTATCTGCATGTGGACTATCCCCTCAGTAGATGTAGTTTAATCCTGGAATAACTCCCCGTGTCTCATACCTCACGGGAAAACCACTAGCTGGTCCATGTTCATTCAGAGAAGGCAACTTAGCTTTAGTTTTAGGCAAAATAAAACACAACTCATATAATCATTACACACCTACACACACTAAAGTTTAACAAATTCCATTGTCTAGAGTTAAAAACAATATATGCCAGTTATTTTTATAGAATACTAACTCTATGCGAGGGGGCACTCTTTCTAGTACTTTGAGTGAATTGCCTAATCAGTTCTCACAATAACCCTATGAGGTAGACACTGTTATCATCTACACTCAGATAAGGAATCTGAGGCACAGAGAGATTAAGCCACTTGCCAAAGGTTACACAGCTGGTTTCAGGTGGATCCAGGACTTGAACCCAGGTAGTTTTTCAGGAATGTTTGCTATGTTTACCACCTTCCAATAAGGTGTAATCTGTACTGTTAATTCTCCTGTAGCTTTAAGAGACCTAGGAGATAAGGTAAGAAAAGTTGAGAGTCAAAGGATCCAGGAATAATATGGTTTAGAGTTTGAGTGACATGAGAGTGACGGGCAGTCTATAATTTGTTTGGTCAATTATGATGATGACAGATATGCTTAGGTATACCACTCAATTTCCTAAGGCTGTCTTATAAAGTTTAGGGAAGTCTCGCTCTGTTCCCAGAGTTCCAATTCACTCTCAGTGGTTTGTAAATAATACGTTTTAAAGTGTCTGCCTTTGATGCTAGGAATTCTCCTATATACTATACTGTGTATTGGATGCCATGGGCAAGATATGCAAGTTGTTGACAATGGCTGCAAAAAAAAAAAAATCAATAGCCGAATTCTTTATTCAATACTGACAGTGAGTCTAGGGATAAAATACACTATGCTTGTTCATCTCTCACTACCAAATCTTCCTGATCGATGAAATATTTTCCTACCTGCAGCATCAAAGAAGGTATCAAGAAAATGTTCTTGAGAAGCTTATCAGAAAGATAATTTTTTTTATACCATGCAGAGGGGTGTTGATCGTGTGTCCAAAGAAGTGGGGAGTCCAGAGATCGTTATTAAATGAGTAATTTTTTCACTAGATAATTTTTTTTTTTTTTTTTTTTTTACAAATAGACAACTAATAATGAATATCCTTGGCCACATTTATAAAATTGGCACAAACATACTTCCTACACACCAGTTTACTAGTCAATATGACAATCGGAATATTCTCTAACGTTTTCAGACTAAATTGAAGTAAGTGTTGATAAAAGGATGGTGCAGTGAATAACTGTGGCTAAAATACATAAATCTATGAAGAGATGGGACTATACGGGACTTTTCTGGCTGAACTGAGATTCTTCTTGGATGGGCATGTGGAGACAGACATTTCTTCTGATCACAAGATGAAACGGAGAGCTGTTGTGTTTCCTGGCAGTAACACAGTATTTGAAAGACTTCCTTTTGTATAAGCACAGGGGCCACAGTTATTTGCAAACCATCCAGTAATTAGCAAGAGGTCTCTCTTCCTTCAGCATTCCCACCGTTTCTCAAAAAATCAGGATATTTTTGAGAATGTCGTAAAACTAGTCTCCGATTTAGTTTTCTGTTATTTCAAAGGATCATATATTTAAGCTGTAGGAAGGGGAACCTTGGAGATTATCTTGTCTGCTCACTCACCTCTAGCCCCCACCTTCCCTTTGTAGATGTGGAAATGGGGGCACAGAGAAGTTAAGGGATTTGCCCAAGATGAGACAGAACGTCTGTGGCAGGGCTTGGACTCCCCGACTCGCCGTTAGGCTGCTGTGGCTTCGCCATCTTACACTTGGACGTCCCATGCCTATTCCTAGCATAAGTCTGTATATGAATCCAGAGAAATATATTTGTTGTACAGCACAATGAAATTACTCTTCACATGACTCCCCAATCATTTACCAACACCGTTACCATACTCCTGAGCTTGCTTTTGCAGTTGATGCCAATCCATACAGCCTCTATGTAAGAGAAAAAAAAAATCCCTTGGCAATAGATTTGCAGGGCTTCTTAGCAAACAGCTGATATTCCTAGCCACTGGTGTGCTGTGATCAGCTCTTACTGGCCGTGAGAGCTGATGGTTAGCACCTCTTACCAGCTCTGAGTTCAGTAATGTCACATTGGTGGCTTGAAATCAGCCATAGTGGGAGTATTTTCACCACAGAAATTAATAAACGCTAAAAATCAGGGCATTCTCCCTCCTCCCTCCATTAATGGTTTTTAAATATTTACTAGCATGCTAGTGTTCCTACTTCATTAAAAAGCAACAAAATCAGGAAGTATTATTAAAACTAGCATATGATCTATTAGATAAGAAGTCTGCCTTTTTGCCAAAAAAAAAAAAAAAAAAAAAAAAGAACGTCTGTATCACGGTCTCAGAATATGTAAATAAGAAGGAAGCTTGGATTCCTGCCAAAGAAATGGGCTTTTTTTTGAGTTGCTAGGAGCAAAGCTATATTAAGATAATTCCTCTTTACTTGTTTTCTAATTAAACTAATTGAATTCCGAGTGTCCAGGGGAAGCACAAGAGACATTTATCTTGAGGGGATGATGGTCTTGAAGCCCATCAATCCTCTTAGAGCAGTAAGAAGGCAAATCCAAGGATGCCCATTTTGCAATAGCCTTGACTCGACCCCCACCCAGAGTCTGGCCATCTTTGGGTTTCTTCTCTCTCTCTCTCTCTCTCTCTCTCT